AAAAAAATTTTGAAGGAAAAAAGTTGTTCGGAAAGTAGGCTCAAAAAAACTGACATTATTTTTGTAACAACCTAATATTTATCACTTTTCTAATGAAGAACCAAGAAAAGGGAGAGGGACGGGGTTGTAGCAGATGTAAAAGTACTTGTTTCAGCCTATGATCAATCAAAATAACTTTCTAAGATTTGAAAAAATCCATCAAACTTCTTTCAATTAGAAGGAATGGAGAGTTAAATTGCCAAGAATTTTGAAATAAACAACAGTTTGGAATTTGCTTTGCTGTAAAGAATCATCTCGAAAAAATTGGAAAATTATTTCGGGAAAAGTTGTTTGAAAAAATTGCCTAGGCTATCATTGCTATTCTTTTGTCTTGAACCTTCTTGCCAGCGATCTACCATTTGAATTTCTGATTTTCGACAGACAAATCCCTTTTTAAAATACCTTCTCCAGACAATTGTCTCACCAATAATGGATCCTCATGTGAATATGGTTGGTCATCGTTCATCAGCAGAACAAATACCTCATCGTTCGAAATATTACAACCCGAATGATTGGCCACTGTCAAAGTAAGTATTGCTAATAATCAAATCTTTGTTTAAGCTGCAAATTTTAGCTTCAAAGAGAAATTCTGGGAAGCCCCGAAGGTGGAAGGACGCTGTATGAACGTAGAGGATATGGACAGTTTCATGGAAATCAATCATAAAGTATGCAAAGGTAGGAGCCATCTTTGGCTTGGTCCCTTCAAAATTCGCTTGCTTTAGGATTGTTGGAAGATACAGTCTATCTCAATGCCCTGCGCGACCGTCATTTTGATATCGCAATTCATGAAATTTACGACTATTGCGTAGTAGCTGTTCTTGAGGTATCTTTCATTCAATATCGTTCCCTTCTTGTTTTCCTTAAGATTTGTAGTTTTAGATGATTGGAATCAAAAACACCATAGTCGTATCGGCAGTAGGTGTCACTTCTCATGTACAAGATATTGCAGGGTTTCCGACCAATCCCAGTTTTATTCCGGGTG